TGCAATGTGCGGACCTCCTCCACACGTTTTACGAGCCCTTCACCACGATCACCTTCGTCTGTTTGCTCTTCTCGAATATCATCGTCTCATCCATGTCAAACATTTGATTCAGTCTTGCATTGCGCCCGATGATGTGCTTCAAATACTCGTCGAAGAATTGCGATTGACCTTCAATGCTTGCTTCGTTCCATACACGCTTAATAAACTGACTGTCGCGAAGCGACAAATCCGGATGACGCTTAAAGAAGCATGATACCCATCGTATCGTAAGGAAGCCGGTGCTCCGCGTCGCATTGTACTTGGCCCGGTATATGACGTTTACATTCGCCAGCAATGCCTCACGATTATATACCAGGCCATTCTTCTGCATTCCGACCACCCAGTCACGAAGATAACCCCTCCATGTTTTCTCTTAGTATTAGTTGAGGCCCAGACTTTCGTAGCGCTACGATCATTTTTAAAAGGTTTGCTCGATGCCAAATCGTTCGCTCCGGAATGCCAGGATATTCGTTACAAACGCGGTGTTCTTGGCGCCCGCGGTATACGCGCGCGCAGCGGCTTCCAGGTCTTCTGCTGAGTATTTCATTCGCCCCGTAGACGTCATGACGGTCTTTTTGTTCTCCTTTACCCTGTCTCGCGCTCCACGTTTCAGCTAGACTATCTGGTACGATGCTTCTTGGCAATAAATCGTGTAAACTACGTGACAGCCAATCATAACATAGCAAGCCTTACATAAGGAGCTGTGATTGTAAGATATATGTTTCGTCAATACTTTGAATCATCAGCAACATTCCGTTCCACTACGTTACGCAGTAAGAGATGATGTCGATAAAGGGTTTAGAACCCATTTCGTTAGAGCACAGATTGTAGCCCGTATAATGCTCTTTAAAGGAAAAAATATGTTGATATGATATCGGTAGTACCTGCGGTGCAGATCAAACAGTTGGATCCAATTCCCTAAACAAGTGACAAGCGCTCGCCTCTTCGAGCAAAAGAGTTTTTTAGATAAACTAGTGAAGCTACACCAGGGTTCTAGATGAACTTGAAAATATGCAGGGCTTTGTTGATTGCTGGTATATATACTGATTTTCAACACATTACATTCGATAAGGCGGGAGTCACCGAAACAAAGAGGTATACAAGGGCGATGGAAGGATCAAGAGGTCCAAAACACTTACTGTCAACTTCGACACAAAATATGGTGGGATTGATCTTCAAGCCTGAGCAGAACATAAAAAGTCTATATGTTTAGGCATTGGATAATGATACGCGTAAATAGCACATTTGTGGTGATTATAACGCAATTTGTTCATGTCTACCGTTTTGCCGAGTACTTTGTTCCCTGTAACAGCCAAATATACCAATTATAAATCTCAAGCCAGATTTGCATCTCTCGTAGCCGAAAAGACCTTGGTAAAGTGCAACGACTGTACACAAGGTTATCAGATGATTGAATAGTCCATACAATTCATATATTGGAAAGCGCTCCTTGCAAACCGGCAGGTCAGAGCAGCATAAAAGGTCCCAGTCGCATCAAAAATATATTGACTGAGACTCTTCAGAACTTTCATCGTCATATATGGCAAACATGATCGAATCACCTTAATGTGATTATCCTCTAAACATATCATATTAGTCATAGTTCGTGATAAGACCATTTCGTACTAAATGTCGCTGCATTCAACAGACACTTCACGGTTCATATCTACTCGTTCAGACACCTATGTAATATTTGAGCAAGATTACACACGTTGTAAGTAGCCATTTATCGCTCTTTGTTCACATCTAATTTTCATTGTTTTTCGTTAGAGACGCACCCTGATCTTGTAACTTGACTCAATCATACATATGACCCATACACGTTAATATTTATACATATCATTGGATAGTAGAAGCATTTGAGGACTGAATTTGTCGGGTGCGAGTCATAATAAAGCGGAAATGAGCAAGCTCTTTAACTATGCAAACCCGCTTTCAAGGGACGGCCGGTTTCATTCAGCCAACTTTTTAACGACGTTCCTCAAAGAGCGTATCCTTGAATGGTAAGCTTGGAGGCACACTAAAGTTTGAACAGTTTCTGCTTGTGGACGCGATTCCGCTTATCGGAGCTACATAGTATCGGTAAATTTACAAACTACACATCTTACTATGTAGCTGGTGTATGCTCTCGAGTAATTAAACCTCTACGAGAGTAATGATGGTCAGTGAATCTCGCGCGATCAAATTGTTGATCATTGCATATTCGGCTTGTAGATCTGATGTCATGGATGAGTCAATAGAGCCTCGGCATGAGAATATAGTGGTTACAGGTCAAAGCCTTTTAGCTCGACAAGGTTTTTATTGGCTACAAAAGATGTGGTATTCGATCTAGCGTACACATTTTCGTTTCGTATATGTATAAGCGAAATACAATTAAAAAGAAAACACAAACGTATGTGGGTTCCGCGAGATAGGATAACACTTACATTAAAACAGTAAAACGTTTAAGACAGTTTCAAGGGTATACACTCCGAACAAGGTCTATAAAAGTGCGCATTGTGCTCGCAATTGATCTTAAAAGGTATGTCATGTAGCGCTTTCGACTGCAAGCGCTGTGAACAATGTAAACATTATTCGTTATGGAGATAGAATAAGCCTTATGTGATGCTTAATGATGGCCTGATCAGAGAAAACCACTTTCATTCTATCCAAGAGTATGATGCTCTTAGTGACATACAAAATCTAATCAAACAACTACGGCTAGCCTTTTTGCCTGTGGTCATAGAATACTTGGAAGCACAATTTCATGTCATTATATGTGTTTCTGCTTATAGCCATTTTGATCATCAGGAATGTATCGTTACAATTACATTAGAAAACGCACATGGAGAGGTGATATAACTCGCCACAATTTCGTTCATTTCGCTGTCGCACTCGCAAGTATTTTGTTATACACGTTAATGGAAGCTTACATGGTATTTGATACCCTATATCACGAAATGCTAATATTTTCTGCCGGTTGGCCACCGTCCATATCGACACTGAAGTATTGCGAGATTTATTCACTGTTTCTAGGTCGGGAAGAGCAACTGAAGTGGCCCTCGACGCCTAGCTGTAGCTGTTTGACGTTAAGTTTAGCAGTCAATATGAAGCTGACTACTTTTTTATGCCCTTGTTGCTGTATATAGCATTATTTAAGCGCCATGTTGTGTTCACGGAAAGATAGTTCGTGGTCCTTCTCGCTTAGTCAAAATATTTATACCCTTCCATATCGCGCCTGGATGGTACAGTGCAGTCGAAGTCTTTGAAGCGTAAACGTGTATAAGAGAAAAAAATGGAGTCTATTTACTACAGTGCTCACCGTATTTAGAGTCCGTTTATAATTAGATTCGCACCGCAATTAGTGTCCTAGACACTGATTCACGTGTAAAGAACACACTCGCCAAATCTCAAAATAGTGACACCCAAAATTAGTGTCCTGAAACTGTGTTTGGAAAACTTGAGATTCAAAGCGCAATGAGCAAGCTGCCGTGTGAAGGCTGCCACGAGGACGTCGGCTCTGTACACGCATGCCCGATACGTATGTCACATATGCATCTATGGTGTGGCATGCCACAAGGCGACGAAGGATTTGGCCAGCCTGTGCTGTGTTCATCCTGCGAGCAGCTCCAGACTGCAGCGATTATTGACTATGCCTCTCTAATAATCGCGGCTTTCGGTACAGCTTGCTACGAACAAAATAACGCCGCCCATCATCAGGCCTCTGATGTTGTAGAAGGCAGCAACTGCGCCAGTGCGTCTAGCAATGATGCGAAGAGTAACCGATTAGCCGCTCCAAAGTGGAAAAAGGCGCGCCAATCTGTAAGCACTATTCACATCAGACAGCGCGTTGTGCGCTAGATGGAATCCAAGTTCGCCGACGGCACCAATTCACTGTTTGCAACCACTGTGGATGCCATCGCCGATGTATTTAACTCGTTATCGCACCAGTCCGATTTAAGAAAGGCCGCTAGGTGGTGGAAGGCGCGCGAGAGTTTGCTGCATTTGCCTCGATGATCTGTAACGGTGTTAAAATTTATGCAGAACGGCCGTCAGCTTATCTGTTGTCAAGGCTCTGAGCGGACGTGGTAGAAATGCGAGTCACTGGGTGACGTGGATGTACCCACGTGTCCTGTCTGATTTTGGTCGACTGCGCAAGGTCGGGCTTTAGGGTAGCTCGCCTTTTCTGCGCCAAGTTTCAGTCCAAATTGTGACCGAGTCAAAAGAAATGTACACCGAGCACAGTCGGGATGAAAACGGTGTTTTGCATAAGAATAAAACACTTCACAGTTGATCCAGACAATCATGGAGAAGAACAAGATCGTGCTCCGTACCCAACCGGCAAGAAACAAGTGTTGCCCGATAAAATACACGAGATTCGAGCTGCAGTCACCAGGCACCTCGGTGAGCTCAAATTTGGTTTTGAGGGTGGTGCTTTAAACGAAGATTGCATCGAGAACATCGACGAAACACACTTTGTTATCGATTTCGACACGGGCAGAACTCTCGGCTTTGATGGGGAAACGTCGATCAAGTACGCAGAAGTCGTGTCTGGAGGATTAGGGATGACAATGATTGTTTGCCTTAGTGGAGGTCCATCAGCTCGTGTGCGTCCGCAAATGAATTTTTTACGAACATTAGCGCATCGCATCCAATTCGGGAGGGGTATTACGGACAACATTGGTGGTGTCTAATATCGGACAGGACCAACAAGATGGATGGATCAGCAAGTTTCCCGGTAGTATTTAACTGAAAGGAGAGCAATTTGTGTGAATAAAAAAGGGGCGAAATATTTTCGCTTATCTCGACAACTGTGGTGGCCACCTGAAGAACGAGCAGTGTTTTGAAAAAGTGGCCAATTTAAACGCAAGACTCATTTTTTCCAGCGAACTCTACCGATTTATGCAAACCAGCAGAATTTTTCGTCATCGCCAAGCTGAAGTGTATTTGGTAGCGTTAGTGGAACGTCAACAAACTTGAGTTATTTAACAAAAAATGAGTGGCCTGACAAGATTTGCAGTGATGAAAGCTGGTCAGTAAAGCTCAAGAATCCGGGTAAGTCACACTTTCGACAATGCAGGCTGATACTGTACAGGAATTTACACGAAGAGCGACAAAAACGGAATTTCTTACACCAGCAAGGCCATGATTTCCTGCGATCTGTCGCTTGACGTGGACGGAAAATGGCGTATTGAGCAATTGCCTTCCCAACTCCAAGAAATTGTGAAGGAATTTCGTGCGAAATTCGAAATAATCAAAATGTACAGTGCATTGGCATTCTTGGATTATCCAAAATATAATTGGTCTATCAAGGATTATCAATTTCTCCATACAAAAACGTTGGTCAAATTGTAATTAAGTATATCAAATGATGCTTCTGCACAAAATAGAACCAAAACAATTTTATTGTCGCACTACTGCAGAGCAAATTTTACACAGCCTCATGCTCCCCCTTCCCCCTGACTACACTATAGGTCGCTCGCATTAAAGAACTAAACTAGTGCCCACAAAATTTGCGGAGGTACCCTCGGCTTAATATCCACCATTTTAAGTTAAGTATCTATATTGTACTTGGTACCCACTTTG